AGACTCAGGCCTGCCGTCTTGCCCAACCCCTCCCCTCCCCCCCCCCCCCCCCCCCCCAATGTAGCCTATGAATATCTAGCGACATTATGTACCCTATCAATATCTAGGGACATTAGACTTGGATAGTCCAAATGATGCGAGACGCCTGCTTGCCCTCCAACAGCAGACAGTGGTTTGGGCAGGACGAGGTAAAGTATATCGAGATATACCAGAAGCAGAAGCAAGGAGGGAAGGACGTTGAAGTTATGGACGAGTCGAAGTACTTAGTGATATGCCCGGGTGAAAACAAGACACCGATTAGCATAGCTGACGAACGGCCCAGGGAGTTGTCTTTTCCGCAGATTTACTTCGGAGAGCCTAGGATAATTAAGCCCGACGTCAAAGCCACTGTGTTCGACTTTGCGACTAGCGAGATTCGCCGGACAGATTGGGGTCGAAGCACGCCGAATCACGTGCTAGACATGGCTACAAAGGTTCTGCGACTGAGGATTACAAGAGGATTGAACCTCGCGTTTCGCAACAATGACAATCGTTTGCTGAAGGAGATCACAAAGAAGAAGCTCGAGGACAAAACTTTGTAGAAAACTGCATCGATACAAACTTGGTATTCATGAAAGGCATACCAAACTCGGCTTACTACTGGTCGCAACGCAAGAGGACATCTTTGCCATGATTAGACAACTTGGAAGACCCACAGTCTTCCTTACGCTCAGCATTTCGGAACTTTCCAACAGACCACTGCTACAGCTACTCGAACGACTAGTACATTCTGACCCAGAAGTGAGAATCGAGTTTGAGAACATGTACTCGCTATACAAGGCTCAACTCGTGAACAACGACCAGTGTTTTGCACACTGTACTTTGACAAGTTGGCTCGTGCGGTCATGAGTGTGCTGAAGAACGAGCGAATCTCTCCATTCAGAGAACACAGGTAGACTACTTCAAAAATATCGCGTTTCTGCAACATGACAGTGCCACTGCTTCATACAGCTCTGGCCGAACTATACTCCGACTGAAGACTTGGCCAATGACATGAAAGAGTCGGTCAAGCTCGAAGAGTCATTGCTAAGTTTGAACGACGAGGTCTTAAATAACCCCAGGCCACAGTACCATGCACACACATTACGTGCTATAAACACGGTAAAACAAGATGCAGATTCAGCGCAGCGTTCTGGCCAATGGCAAGAACTTGTATACTCAACCCAGATACAAAGCCAGGCGATAAGACCAAGCAACAGTGCATGGAGCTACTCCAGAAGCTTGAAGAGACCGTATACGGCTCCATATACGAGTTCCTGCAGCTAAATGGTGTGGAAGACGAAGAGCATTACATCAGGGTTTTCCAAAGATGGTTCGCACAAACCGATAGTTCTGCTGAAACGAGCGATCAAGCAGAAGTTTTTCAAAGCATTCAACTTGTGGATATAGCTGCGGTTATGGGATCTAAAATGGACCTCCGGCACATAATGGACGTACACTCCTGGGTTTCTTACGTGGCAGACGACGTCAACTAGGCGAACCAAGGTGTCTCAAATCTCCACAAAGCCGTCGAAGAGATCAAGGATACTCGTCCAGACAAGCCCACTCATAATGGAGCTTAGCGTGCAAACTCCATTATGGACTGAACCGGGTAGAGATGAGTAGTCAGGAAGCATGGTGGGTCCTACTGAGACTGTGAAAGTCGGAGGGTAGCAAGCAAGTTGCATTCATCCCGACTATGCCAATGGAGAAACGTACCAGACTTCGAAAGGATGTCAAGGCCCTTTAAGATGAGGAAAATGAATCCACCGACGTGTGGAAGCTCAACATCGTGAACCAGTACGAGAAGGGACCAAACGGGCTGAGTGACGTTACACTCACAGAGTTTGTGGCTTGGTACACGCAAGTGCTGACGGGAGCGTGCAAGCGACGTGAAATACCCAAAGTCATCAAATAAAGAGCATACAGACCCAGCAACATTGAAAATTTAAAGCGAGAGATGGCCATGCTTTACCATCCGTTCAAAAGCGAGGTAGACCATACACTGGATAGCTACCACGAGATCTATGACACCAACATCGAGACGCTACTCGAGAAGAAGCGTCAGTTTGAGATCGTAAACTGCGACGAACTGGAGAAGAAATGCCTCGAGATGATTGGCCAAGTGCCTGAGAATAGGGTGAAACGCATGATAGAGCCTCTGCAAATTGACAGGGACGAGAACCTGGACTTAAACGAACCTGGTGCTTGAAAGGGGGCTAGCTGCGCCGCAATTATAACGAGAGATGACATAATGTCGGCCGCTAATTACTGCGAGGCCGTGGGGACCATAAACATCGAGCAGATATCATTGACATGCGAGGTGATTCATCGCTCAGTGCTACACGATTCGTCACCTATACAAGTGTTCGTAACGGGGTACGTAGGCAATGGTAAGTCGTACACTATAAAGCTAGTGGCCGAAACGCACAATCTCATGTGCACCGAGCCGGCAAGTCCGTCAAACGCATACTCTATGATGGCGACGAGCGGGTAAGCGGCAACTGCGATCAGGGGAACTACGGTTCAATCAGCCCTCAAGATCCCAGTCAGCGTGGAAACCGGACTTAGCACCTCGACTTGAACGCGTATAGGTGCGTGTTCAGACACATAAAGTGCATGGTCGTCGACGAAGTCAGCATGATGGAAGCGAAACTACTACAGACGCTGGCCGAGAGGTTGATACACATTGCGCAGAACTATACCGTTCCGTAATAGACTTCGCGGGAGATTTGTAGTCCGTTGCAAGTGACGAAACTATTTGTAATCCCTTACATTTTTCAGTAATTTTCTAAGAGAATAATTCCATATTTCAGAAAGCAATTGTAAATTATTTTTTTCTTTTTTTTTTTTTTTTTTACGTAAGGGACTGATTGTAATAAGTTACATTTTTGTATTCATTCGCGGAGGAAAAATGCGGGACTTACAATATTAACAAAAAATGGTTGAAAAATATTTCTTTTTTGTAAGGGTAAGTTTTACCGGAATCACACTGTCATCTGCATTTACAACACGCAAGGACTGGCATTCCTTAGATGCTCAAAGTCTTTCTTCACGTCACCTAAAGCCTCGACTCAAATCTTTATTTTTTGTGGTTTGGTTGTTTGCAAATCGTAACTCGTCAGCTTGCTCGCCCACAACGAAGTAGGAAGCACTGGTACAAAGAACCGGCCTCTCCCTGCATACAATATCTGGCAAACTCTTGAGTTCAAAGTGTTTCCTTCCAACAAAAAACAACATCAAAGTGCACGCGAGTTGGTGTAGCGAATCTGTGCGTGCTTTTTCTTTTTGGTCGCTTCACTCCGTCTTTGCTTCCTTCCGGCCGAGAGGAGAGAAAATGACGTCTTTGTATCAACATCGGGCACCAAAATCATTTAGACTGTTGAGAAAACCGAAGTTTGGTGGAGCCGTAATTAGGACGCAGCGTCTCAATGGGCCAGCAGGATCAAGCTGACGTTTTAAGTGTCGAGCGGATAGTGGAAGGCTTACGAACCCGTTCTTTTCTAGCCACTTAGTCGCGAGTCCAGGTAGACAGTACCTATCTGGAAAAAGGTGGATTGAAAAGGTGTTTAGCGTGGGTACGACATCTTCATATAGGAGCGAGGTAACGTGTCCGATGAGACGTTTTGAGAGCCAGATGTTGCTCGAGGTCACAAAAGTGTAAGTGGCGGCAACAATAAACGCTCGCATAACACTTGTATCTTGTTTCTTGCCTTAGAACAGTAAAGTTGAAAGTAATGCCGCTAAAGTAACGGATAACTTTTTGATGCAGCGGTCAATTCCATACAAGTTTGGGGCCCGATACGTCGGGAGCTTCAAAGAGTATGGTTACACACAAGACATGGGCACACGTTAAATTTCACGAATGCACCCAGGTGATTAGATAGAGTGACTCCAAATTCTCCTGACTGCTCGGGAGACTGGAAGACGGTAAACCACTTACACCGGAAAACATCGAGATGCTGGAAAGTCGATTCGCGACAAAGGAAGACGCTGCGAGACTATATCCCAGTGGGATTAGACTATTGTACTCCAACGCAGACGTCAGAACGCACAACGATGGATGCATAGCCTGTGACAACTGTGCGGTGTCGAGTGGGAGTGATGTTATCGCTAAAGCGAAGACCTCAAAAATCAATGCAAGTGCCGTCATGCAAGTAGCAGCGATCAAGCTAAACGAGTTTGAAGGTGTACCAAGAGCTGTATGTTTGCACGTTGGTACACCGTGCATGATCACGGCAAACAGCAGTGTACACGACGGACTTGTGAACAGAAACATCGGGACGTTAAAGCACGTGGAATCTAACGAGAGTGGTGAAATTGTGAGACTTCAGCTTAGCTTCCCATATAAGACGGGAAGCATAGCCAGGAAGAAATTCAAGACCAAGAATCCCCAGCCCAACCGGGTGCTGATTTTCAAACAATCGGTAAACATGATCGTGCTGAAACGCTACAGCGTAACGTGTAGAACGACAAACTTCCCTCTGATTTAAGCCAATGCCATACCGATCCATAAGTCACAGGCAGCAACATATGATGAAGTCGTGTACTATAGCAGGTCTTACCCAAGGAAGCTATTCTATGTGGCTTTGTCAAGAGCCAAGACGTTTGAGAAGCTGTACATCACTAACGACAAAAATGACTTCAACTTTTGCCGCAGACTTGGCGAGGTCGACGCTCAGATGGATGCTGAGATGAAGAGGCTTGGTCGCAAGCGACTGTGCACCGTGATAAGCAATGCGTGTAAGACGGTATAAAGAGGGCCAGGATGGCTGACTTAGTAACCATAACATTGCATAACACACAGTCACTAAGCACACACGTGGTGATATAAAGTGTGACTTGGTGGTGCCAAACACAAGCATACTTGCTCTGTCTGCACCTTGGGCAGATCAACCATTGGAGAGTAGAGCGTTTGAGCACATTAATTCAAACAGGAGACTGAACGTGAGATGTGGAAGTGTATATAGAAGAAAACTGAGATGACACAACTTGACGTTAAGCCAGTCAACTGGAAAAAGAGTGCGAAGAGCGGTGTGGGTGACATATGTGTAGCAACCATCAGATACAATGGCGTCGAGCTAGCATTGCCTAACGTATACATAAGCCCTGAATCATCCAAGGCTGATATACAGAAGTTTCTCTTCCTAAAGCTCATACAATACAGCAAGGTCAAGCTACCCGCCAGTGCTCATGACAACACGAAAAACAGGGGTATGTTCATGATGATGATGTGAGAGATCAACATCAACAGCGATAGGAAAGACAAGTGGTTGAAAGACTTCACAGACAAACACTTTGGCATAAGCCGCACACCAGGGGTGAAATACCCACGGCAAGTCTAAGCCACATTGACCACGTCTTTGCAAGAGAGGTTGACAAGTTGGCGAACCTCATGTATATAGCCTACTGGTCTGCGCATAGACCGATGTATATCAGTCTTGGGAGAACTAGAAAGTTTGAGGAATGGACAGAAATAACAAAATGACCGCACTGAAAACACAGAATGAGGGGAGGGTAGACCCCTCTTCCTCCTTCTCCTCCTCCTCCCCTCATTCTTGAATATGCTCCGGGGGGGGGGGGGGGGGGGGGGTGACGTGACCTCGGGGGGAGGGGGTCACGTGACCTCGGGGAGTGTCACGTGACTTCGGAAGAGGGGGGGGGGGGTCACGTGACATCGCGGTTACGCCAACGGCGACGCCGCTCAAGCCGGAAACGGGCGCCTAAGAGCTGCGCTCTAAAAATGACCGCATAGAAAACCCTTTTCGTGTTTAATCCGAGGATACGCTCAAAATGTATGGCAAATTGCTAATAATATTTTGTTGCATACGTAAACGTAGGCGTCAAGCTGCGTGGGTTAGACGAGCTGCTAAGCAACCACTTAATGATACAACTGAAGAACAGCAACTTGAGCAGAGAAGACAGGCTGAAGACCAGCGTCAAGAGAGAAGGCGAGAGGCTGACCGGGCTAGACGAGCTGCTAAACGATCTTCGTAGATTACAATACAAAATAGAATACAAAAGTATCGCTAAACGTGTGTAATGCTAGAACGTTTCATGTATCCAACAAAATTGCCTAGCAATTTGCCATACATTTTTCTCCCTATTCGTTTCCTTCTTAATTCTCCCCGAGAATGTCAACTTGCTCGGCTATCCTCCACTCAACAAGGCCGATGGATTCTTTCACAGGCTCACATCTCTCCCATACCCATATGCCTTCATGTCCCTGGGCTCCCACATGTCTCCAAGCTCCACATCGCCCCCATTTCCCGAAACATGTCCCCGATCTTACACCCCGAACGCAGACAGACAGAAGCTGCCCATCACTCCTCGCTTCTAGACTCTCACATTGTAGCATGCACCGTCGCCTTCATACGCGTATCCCACGGTACTGCAGCTCAGTTCATACACTCCCCTTTCTCTTCTAACCCCCTCTCGACTATACCAGTGGTTCATAGTTCGACACCCCGGACAATCCCACTATAGAAATTATCTCTATTGTGCATGCAGTCCAGAAATCTGTTTACCTTCCCCCAACACAGCAATACGTAGAATGCACCGATTCCCAAGCCGCCCTTAGGACGTTTTGAAAGCGCACAATACCCCCGCGATGTACACTCTGACCTAGATATGGCTCTTCTGAGTCTGAAACCTCGTACGGTCCCATTAAGGGCGATCTCTGGACACTCAGGAATTGCTGGAAATGAGCTGTGTAATCAGCTCGCCCGCGAAACTCTTGACGGGGCTCCAGCGATCCGCTTGTCCAGCCCATCTTAGTGGGACGAGGGTCTACTGATCAAGAAAGCCCTCTACCAGTCTTAGCTTCAATTCAAGCGGGAACCCACCACTGTACCTTCCCTACACCGCCGCCTCTCTACTTCCCAGTCCCGTTTCCTTCGTAAAATTCAGACAAACGCACTCATCACACCCGCAAAACTTTCTTTATACCATTTGCGTTCTGATCCCCCCCCCCCCCCCTCAAATCGCCTTGAACTCTATGGCAATCTCGCCCACTGTCTCTTTTATTGTCCTGTCGCTTTACAACCTCCTTCCGACCCTTCTCCAACACTCTCAGCCCTCTCATTGGCATACTTGGCTGGTTTCTCCTCATGAAGAGGACCAGCTCTTCCTCATATGGCAGGCGTAGCACATCATGAGCACTTAATTTGTGTTTAATAATAAAGTGATTTTCTCTCTTTGTGTGCAGGGATCAAAGCAGCAGGGCTTGAACAAGGCGGAACGCAGCTACCAGGCTTGTCTGCGCAGCCGACAGCGGGACGTGTCCTCGCTCGTGGACTTCCTTCGGAACAGGGGACTCTCCTGGCCCGATCGGAGGCCCGCACGCATTCACCCGGTGGATGTGCTCGTGGACCTCGACGTTAACTGGAACCTTGGACTCTGGTTCACGGTGCGCCTGGTGCGCAGATCTTCTAAGGACAAGAGACTCATCCGCATCGGGGAAGGCATTGTGTCCGGCGCATGGCGGAAATTCATTCGACAGCTGGCGGCCAGAGGACACTACAGGGAATATGTTCTACGCTTTCACGACGCCCTCAAAAATTATTCTTCTAAACCTCTCGGCGAGAGGCACGTTTCAATCATTTATTTTCCGCGAGGAAATTCGGGGTCGGTTGATGTGACCACTACAGACGCCTGCAAGTCCGGCCTCTGGGCCGTATTTCCAGACGTCTGCCGGTGGAGCAAGCCTGGATGAGTGGATGGAGGCTAACGGCTGTGCCCTTTATAACGGAGGTAGCTTACATCACCTAGCCTGGAAACCAAAACTATGACGTGCCCATGGTTGCAAACTGAAGGCCCGTTCACACACTTGCAACCGAGTCGGGCCGACCGAGACAAGACCGCAGCAGCGCATCCGGTTCTTAGGACCGGATGCGCTGCTGCGGAGCTGGTCCTAAAACGTAGCAAGAGGCTTAAAAATCGGGCCTGTCCCTCTCGGTCTTACAGTCTTACTCGGTTGCAAGTGTGTGAACGGCATTTGACGACCAAGCAAAGCATTTTTCATCCACGGCGACCAGATTGGTTCTTGAAGCGTGGCTGTTTGCAAACGTTTGTAACATGAACTACGTGAGGCAAGAAAGGAAACTGAGTCGATGGATTTCACCTTGAGATACCGTTTCACCGAAACACTGCTATTGGCGTCGTACGAAAACACGTTATACGTAAAAAGAAGAAGTCACGAAATAATTGAAACGAGTAGAATTACTTTCTCCTGAAAGCCTCAAATTTGTTAGTTTTGCAGCAATGTACCAACTAGCTGCCTATCTTAATGTTTCTAGAAGCAAGGGCTGCCGACGTTTCCTTATGAAATTGGAGCTCTTCAGAAAAAAAAAACACATCGTGGTTTATTTTATTTTTAGTTATCTAATGTTCTAATAATATTACCTATTCGCACTCACCATAGCGTGGGCCGGTTTACCAATTTTTTTACCTACCTCGGATAGTTGGTGTCTTTAAAATGTCCTAGTGACAGAAATCTAAAAAGCGCAAAGTAACAAATACTTAAACCCCGTGGTTCAACATAAAGAAACTGCCACAGGCACAGGCATCTTGCATAACTCCTGTAGTCAATGTCTTTAACTTCGTAAGCTCTAGACGCGAAGTATGCTAAGCCACCCGTACTTTCTAAATGCGTTAGCGTTTATTGCCTGGCAACATGCAGCCGGACTGGACCGGTTTCGTGGGGATCGAGTGGCCGTGGCACAACGTACGCGACAACGTAAAACCGGGTTAAAGCGACGAATCCGTTTGCGCGAAACCGCCGACACTCGGGGGGGGGGGGGGGGGGGGGGGGAGATTGGCTCTGCAATGACTACAGTAAGCGGATATCGTAGGCGACGACCGAGGGAACGTGTAGTCAGAGCCTCTACAGTTACTCTATCTGTGGTGGCTGCATCCGAAACCACCGACGCCCGGGAGAGCAGACTGGCTTTCCGAAGACAACAGTATGCGGACGATACCGAGGTTGGAATTCCCATCCTTCGCGGAGTCGGAGCCCCTGCGCTAAATGCTAACGCATTTCTTAATTTTTTTTCCTATGTCTTTTTTCGTTTTGTTTTCTAGTGTGCTTGATTAGGTGTCTTTTTTTAAGTTAAATTCGGTGCTTATGTCTTTTGCCCCGCAGAGAAATAGAAGAAATGCAGGCGTACGACTTGTCCAACGTCGCTAACCTCACCTTGGCGGAAGGTCACCACGGAGAACTCTCGTTCCAGATGAAACAAATCCAGCAACTGGCTACTCCTTCGCATCCCTCGGCTATGTGGATTAAACTGCTGAACAAACACTTCGGGAAAACCTACAGGTGAGGAAATTGCATGCCACCCGTACATGGTGTGCTTTGTGCATGCTCGTGTGCCGTGGTCGCCTTCTGTATACGAGCGGTGTGTCCTAAATGGCACTAAGTGCAGAATTCAGACACGATCGCGGTTCTTTTATCTTGACGCAGATAAGTGCCACGTCGAGCTTGCAACTAGGACGGCTCTTCTATTTTTTTTTTTTTTTTTAATGCGTTAGCATTTACTGTTTTGGTGCACGCAGCCGTCTTTCATTTGGGCGGTCGTGGTTTGGGCTGGACTGGAGTTGACTCGTTTCGTGAGGTCGCTACGCGGTGCGCGTTTCCCGCAGTGCTCTTTCGCTCCCTTCATACTCTCGTTACGTCCTTTTTCTCTCTTACGAAAAGGAAAGAGTCTCCTGGAATGTTTCCAATGACGCGCTGCAGGAGCGGGAGAGGGGGCAAGCTGGTAGTGGCTGCATCCGAAACCTGGGACGCTCGGGAGAACAGACTGGCCCTCCGGACAAAATAAGGAGTTTCGTAGATCGTTTCGGCAGTCACGCAACGCTGTCCGCAACCCGCTACGATACCCGGATCTTTACAGTCAAAGCCATGGGCGCGCAGGCGCAGTCTTCTTCGTTGCTGAGGGCTTAGCCGAGGGGGAAACGCGGTCTACCAAAACTTCCTAATAGTATGCATGACCGTTGCAAGGTTGGAATTCCCATTCTTCGTTGAGTAGGAACCCCTGTGCTAAATGCTAACGCATTTCGTCGTGGATCAGCGTGGAAACAGCAGTGATTTCTGCATCTTTTTCTTTTTTTTTTAAGTTACGGTAAACAAGTAAAAAAAAAAGGTGAAGATTTACATATATATATATATATATATATACAACACGGGCACTTCACGTCATCGTACGTGGTCTCCGAGGAGGATATGAACGAATATGTGCAGATGAATGAACCGTACTTAATTTAATGAATCAAAGAATCGAAGTTTCCAGGAACCCGCCGAAAGCCAAAAATTGGCGGAGCCAGGATTTGAACTCTGGGCCCCCCAATGTCCGGTCGGGTGTGCTAACCACTACACTACTCCACCTTGGCTTTCTGGCGTTTCCTACCTGTCTTATTAATGCACAAGAAACGAAATGTATCCAATCGGAGGTGTTCTGGAAACACACGCCGCCGCGTGGAACGCGGTACGACGCTTAGTGTCACGTGGTACGTGCTCGTTTGTGCTCCAGAAATCCTCCCACTGTTTGTCTCGCCCCGTGTACATGTAGTATTCTTTGTTTATGAGCTTTTAGAGACACGGTATCATCATCATCTGCGAGAATCAAGAGCCACGTTATTGAATATACAACACGGGCACTTCACGTCATCGTACGTGGTCTCCGAGGAGGATATGAACGAATATGTGCAGATGAATGAACCGTACTTAATTTAATGAATCAAAGAATCGAAGTTTCCAGGAACCCGCCGAAAGCCAAAAATTGGCGGAGCCAGGATTTGAACTCTGGGCCCCCCAATGTCCGGTCGGGTGTGCTAACCACTACACTACTCCACCTTGGCTTTCTGGCGTTTCCTACCTGTCTTATTAATGCACAAGAAACGAAATGTATCCAATCGGAGGTGTTCTGGAAACACACGCCGCCGCGTGGAACGCGGTACGACGCTTAGTGTCACGTGGTACGTGCTCGTTTGTGCTCCAGAAATCCTCCCACTGTTTGTCTCGCCCCGTGTACATGTAGTATTCTTTGTTTATGAGCTTTTAGAGACACGGTATCATCATCATCTGCGAGAATCAAGAGCCACGTTATTGAATATACAACACGGGCACTTCACGTCATCGTACGTACCCGTGTTGTATATTCAATAACGTGGCTCTTGATTCTCGCAGATGATGATGATACCGTGTCTCTAAAAGCTCATAAACAAAGAATACTACATGTACACGGGGCGAGACAAACAGTGGGAGGATTTCTGGAGCACAAACGAGCACGTACCACGTGACACTAAGCGTCGTACCGCGTTCCACGCGGCGGCGTGTGTTTCCAGAACACCTCCGATTGGATACATTTCGTTTCTTGTGCATTAATAAGACAGGTAGGAAACGCCAGAAAGCCAAGGTGGAGTAGTGTAGTGGTTAGCACACCCGACCGGACATTGGGGGGCCCAGAGTTCAAATCCTGGCTCCGCCAATTTTTGGCTTTCGGCGGGTTCCTGGAAACTTCGATTCTTTGATTCATTAAATTAAGTACGGTTCATTCATCTGCACATATTCGTTCATATCCTCCTCGGAGACCACGTACGATGACGTGAAGTGCCCGTGTTGTATATTCAATAACGTGGCTCTTGATTCTCGCAGATGATGATGATACCGTGTCTCTAAAAGCTCATAAACAAAGAATACTACATGTACACGGGGCGAGACAAACAGTGGGAGGATTTCTGGAGCACAAACGAGCACGTACCACGTGACACTAAGCGTCGTACCGCGTTCCACGCGGCGGCGTGTGTTTCCAGAACACCTCCGATTGGATACATTTCGTTTCTTGTGCATTAATAAGACAGGTAGGAAACGCCAGAAAGCCAAGGTGGAGTAGTGTAGTGGTTAGCACACCCGACCGGACATTGGGGGGCCCAGAGTTCAAATCCTGGCTCCGCCAATTTTTGGCTTTCGGCGGGTTCCTGGAAACTTCGATTCTTTGATTCATTAAATTAAGTACGGTTCATTCATCTGCACATATTCGTTCATATCCTCCTCGGAGACCACGTACGATGACGTGAAGTGCCCGTGTTGTATATTCAATAACGTGGCTCTTGATTCTCGCAGATGATGATGATACCGTGTCTCTAAAAGCTCATAAACAAAGAATACTACATGTACACGGGGCGAGACAAACAGTGGGAGGATTTCTGGAGCACAAACGAGCACGTACCACGTGACACTAAGCGTCGTACCGCGTTCCACGCGGCGGCGTGTGTTTCCAGAACACCTCCGATTGGATACATTTCGTTTCTTGTGCATTAATAAGACAGGTAGGAAACGCCAGAAAGCCAAGGTGGAGTAGTGTAGTGGTTAGCACACCCGACCGGACATTGGGGGGCCCAGAGTTCAAATCCTGGCTCCGCCAATTTTTGGCTTTCGGCGGGTTCCTGGAAACTTCGATTCTTTGATTCATTAAATTAAGTACGGTTCATTCATCTGCACATATTCGTTCATATATATATATATATATATAGAGAGAGAGAGAGAGAGAGAGAGAGATACAGAATGTAGATGCATTTCCGGCTTCTCCACGTAATAAAAATTACACCATATTCCCGAGGGGAACCATGGGGTGATGCGGAGCATCGCGGATCGTTATTAACGGTGTTATTAACGGTGTTAGTAACGTTGTTGAACTTCACGGTCCCAAACCTCAGGTTCTGCTGCTCGACGTTCACGAACCAACGCGGCTTCCCGTTCTCGAAGGTGGGGTTCCGCCGCTCGCTTCGTACGTTTACGTTGAACTTCACAGTCCCGAACCTCAGGTTCTGCTGCTCGACGTTCTCGAACCGCCGCTGCTTCACGTTGTCGTAGTTCAGCATCCGCCGCTCGACGTTGACGAATGGACGCCGCTTCTCGTTGCCGTAGTTCAGGGTCTGCCGCTCGCTTCAAGCGTTTGCACTCAGCGTCGCGCGCCCTTCGCTGCGCAGCTTTGTCTTCAGTGGATGTAGCGTTGCTGTTAGTTTGTGGGGTGGTGCTGACGCTTGCTTGCGCCAACCCACTAACTAACGGGACTGTTGCTTCCATCACACTTCATCGGAAAACGGAGTGAAGTGAAGTCAACAGCGGTGAACTGAACGCGCGCAGCGCGCTACCGCTGCTTATATTCACACTTGAAGGAGAGGAGACTAGAGGAGGAGAGTAGCGCATGCGCGCGCGGTGTGAGTAGAAGCGAACGCACGCGAAGTGCACGCCGCTGCTAGAGAGAGAGAGCGGAGAGAGTAACGCGCAGCTATTGGAAAGAGGGAAGGGGGAGAGTTGCGGATGCGTAGTGTGAGTGCGGACTACGACGCCGCGGGACATAGACCCGAGCAAGAAATGCTCCGCATCTAAAAACGCAGATTTAGGCAGCTATTATGAAATGGCACAAGGTTCTGGATGCCGTTCCTAAAGAAAGACCTGGTCAGAGTTTTTAGTCATTCCATCACGAGTGCAGCAAGACTGTCAGTCGCCACAAATATTCTTTCGTGACCCCGTCATGGAGGACATCTTTCCGTCCTTCCCGAAGCCCCATGATGCAGTTTCCTCCATATGTTGACGGTCTTGCTGACGCATGGTGGAATGACTGAGTACCTCGGCGGCAATCCTCTTTGGGAACCCTCTATGTGAAGAAGAGTAATGTATCTACATTCCGTGTTTACTAAAATATTTTACATCATTTTCTTTTTATCGGTTTTACTCAGTTCATTGAAACTTGATAAAAAAAAAGTATGCCGAAATCGCCGCTGCGTTCGAATTTAGCGCAAGGGTTCCTTGTCCTCGGAGAGCCAGTCTGTTCTCCTGGGTGCCGGCAGTTTAAGATGAAGCCGCCACCCCTTCCCTTGATAGTCGCTTGCTGTTCTCTGTTGTCTTCAGAAAGCCTGTCTTCTATCGGGCGTCGGCAGTTTCGGATGCAACCACCGCGGCTTTTAGAGGAGTGCGCGTCAACAGCGGGGCATCATTGGAAGCGTGCGAGAGGACTCCTTCCCTCTTACGTATAGAGGGAAAGTGAACGCAGTGAGCGAACGAACGAAGCAAAGACGGCCACATGCACCAGGGCAATGAATGCTAACGTATTTAAAAAAGGCATTTTATGAGCATGACTGTTGATCAATAGCCAATTAACCTTTTTCCAAAGCCATAGATACGGGAAGAATTTGGCTATCTATTGTCCTCGGTGACCTCTTGCTGCCTTTTGGCTCCTCACAGAGGAGAACGTCGCGCCCAGCAACCCCTGGTAACCGCTAAGCAACCACATAGCAACCGCTTAGCAACCACCTAGCAACGGGGAACGCCGTGCGAACGACGCCCGCCTGTCCGCCATTACCGATCACACTCATCCACGCGCACGCATGCAGCCACATGCTATTCCCTGTAGCGACCTCCGACCGTTTAGGTTTTCTGGTTAAAAAATGGTCGAATGTTATGCCGTTGGATGGTCCAACAGTCGTCGAGGTTTTTGTATTTGTATGACCCAGAAAGGGGAAAAAGCAAACAAAGAAAAGATAAAAATATATACTTGCTGAATTCCCGACTTCGAGAGGTATATATTGTCTTGACTGTAAACTCTTATTTATAGAATAGAGTTGTGGTAAAAGTTCCGATCACACGGGTACGGATTTCTAAATAACAGGGAGTTTTAAAATAACGTACGTAATTCTAGCTCACGCTAGCGCTAAATTTTGCGCTTGCGTTAGCGCACGCGACGCATCAGAGTTATAGCGTTTCTCCGCCGCGACGCAAAAGCCCAAGCACCTCGCGCTTGCAACAACACCAAGATACAATCACCATTTTTATTTCACACATGAAATGCTGTAACATGAGAAAAAAACAAGTCTTTTGGTCCGGAGTAACACTTTACATTTGTTTAAACGGAAGAATGCGACGCGCGCGGTCGACTGGTCGTGTCCGCATGCGTCGCCTCGGCAAGAGTGTACTGACTGACCTTCGCCGATAAATGTTCGCTCGTCGCAAGCACCAAGTTTTGGTGATCGTTGCCCACCTTGATGGGTTTTCCAAACCGAGTGCAATGTCGTCTCCTATTAAAAATTGCAGTCGCAAGGATGCCGCCCACGTCGCGCTCACGACGCTGCCAAACGGCCTCTGCCATGGTCCTGCGGGCCGCCATTTCTTTTTAACGGTGCTCGTCTTGGCTTTAGCCAACTTTTCATCACGAATCCTCCTTGGAGGCGCGCAAAGACTCTTTGCGTACGCACGCAATCCCCGAGAAATAACGTGCGCTAATATAGCGCACGCAAAGCGCAAAACGTGGCTAGCGTTCGGCGCATGCGCAGTGGCGGCGACGCTATTCTTTGCGTACGCAAAGCTTTAGCGTGCGCTATTCTGAAACTCCCTATTAAGGAGAAACAAAGTTCCGTAAAACTAACATCTCGGGCGAATGGCTTTAGCTCATTTTACATTCTAACTGACAATTTTCTTAAAAAGCAACGTGTAAAATTAATTTTTTGACACGCATGTCTCAACCAGCCTAATTTTAAATTTTTTTTTTTTAAACACACCACAAGATTTTGGGTGACGATGGCATCATGTAACAGTGTAACGCATTGACAACTTGTCTATGTTTGTCGACTCAAAAATTCTTCTGAAAGTTCTTCCGCTGCGAATCAGAAGTTGTCGTCGTGCCCCACTAAAAAAGAAAGAAAAAAAAAATATATATACATATATATATATATCAGTGAGAAACGTTGTCAGTAAGAAAGACAATACTGTTTTTTTTTTTTTTTTTTTTTTTTGTTGCTAACAAGGTTCTTACTAAAATTTAACCAAAGACTAAAAAAATCTAAATTTCCTCGACACTCCGAGTGTACGCGCTGCACATGAACGGGCTGATCTTGACGCATGTATGGAGAGAATTGACAACCGGGAACTGACTTACTGCAGTTCCTGAAAAAAAAAGCATGAGACGGATATTGCTAATTGTTGAATTAAAACAGAAACAAACAGTTATACGTTGAACACAACCGAGAGTCAAGCTATACAGCTATAGATGCCTGACGTCTGCTAGAATGTACTTCAAGTAAAATACAAGTTTTCTAAAAAATGTACTAACTTCCAAACACTGCCTGGATCAAAAGATACCAAAAAAAAAAGTACCTATGAGCCAACGTCCACCTAAGCCTAATATTCATCAACCCAACAATTTAGATTTTGGGCGCCTATAGCATTTATTTCAGTGAGGAAAGTGGTCAGTAAGAAAGACAATACTGTTTTCTTTTTCTTTTCTTTTTTTTTTTTTTTTTGCTAACAAGATTGTTTTTTTGTTTTTTTGTTTTTTTTCTAAAGTACCTACCATTTAAATTTCAGTTTGATAAATATTGAACTTAGGGTGACGTCGGTTCATAAAAAAATTGTTTTTTTTTCTATATTTTGAATTAGGTTACGTTACGAGCTCATACGTTCACGATGCGATGCGTAGTTTCTCTATACGGATCAAAAAATCGGGTTTTATTCTCTCGATCGATCCCGGTCCCAGAAAGAACAGCTCAACGTGCCTCCACCTGTCAGAACATATTAGCATCATGCCGTTGTATCGGTTTTCATTACATTTTCTGCCCCATACTACCGATGCTAAAAAAGCATCGTTGAAAAAGACGAAATACGCGCGAAGATACAATGTCGGTCGTGTGGGACGGTGACCTCTGAAAACGGCGACAGCTGGAAGAAAGGGTCAGGGAAGACGGTCCTAGCATGTCGTCTGCTTACTAGGAAAAGGTCCATTAGATCTGCGATTCTGTCGTAAGTTTCATTGTCTCTACAAAGGGGAAGACGTGTCACGAACCCCTGCTCTCGGGATTCAGGAATAGATTTTCTTAAACGGGCTACCAATCGCCTCGCAGGTTTACTGAAACAGATCGAATTCTCGTCACCAATGTGAAGCTGCTGCAAGCGCTCGACAGGCTCTGCCAGCTCTCCTCGCCGGAGGACATTCTGCGCTACATATCCTGGACCGTCGTCCAACTTCTTGGCTGGATGGCAGACCCGACCTTGCCGGGCCGCCCGCAGTCCGCAGCCACTGAAGATCCCCGATCCGTAGACTGCTTCTGGGCAGTCGACCGCGTCTTTGGGCTCGCCTCCTGGTCAAGCTACATCACCAGCCGCTTCCCGACGCCCGTCCGCGCTGACGTGGATCGCATCCTCAGCTCCATCGTCCAGAGCACCGTCGACATGCTCCTACGGTCCTCTTGGATCGACAACGCCACGAAAGAAGTCGCTGTTCACAAGGTCCGTAACATCCAGACCTTGCTGTGGCCTCCGGAGGAGTTCTTCAACGCCACCGAAACCGCCGATCTCCTGAAACCATTCCCGGACCCGAGCGACTCTGTCATCTCGAGCTGGCTTCGAGCATCTATCGTACGACGAGGTCTTCTAGGCAGAGCCGGCTTCGAGAGTCTTCTGGACGCCGACAGCGATCTCCGGTCACTCTTCAGGTACCGCTACTACGTGAACGAACTGGCCGTATCCCTAACCGCAGTGAGCAGTCCGCTCTACATCCAAGGGGCGACGAGTGCCCTCAACTATGGGGGACTCGGTGTCCACTACGCGACGACGCTGGCTAGGGCCTTCGACCACAAGGGAGTCCTGGTGGACGCTCTGGGTCGTGGAACGCTTTGGTGGTCCAGGGCGTCGTATCCCGCGTACGAAAGTAGGAGTTCGTGCCGAGGTGCCGACGGCGCTGAATCTACGAAAACTGATATGGACGGCGTGACGGCGCTGGGCGTTGCTTACGACGCTTTCAAGGTAAATCGCGCGCTGTCTTTAAGAAAAATATCCGATGCCAAGTTTTTGGGGATGTCTGAGGACCAGGTGTTCTTTGTGGGTTTTTGCCAGGCCTTCTGTGCTTCGGTTCCAACAGAACAGCAGCGGTCTTCGTGCGACGCGCCACTGAAGAACTCTGGCGAATTTGCCAGGGCTTTCAACTGTCCGCTGAACTCGCCGATGAACCCGAGTGTTAAGTGTTCTTTCTTCGATGATGCGGGAGGACGAAGTCGTCCGTCGGCTTCAGTGCCGACAATTACGACCCCGCATCCGGGTGAAGACAATATCGGATATCACGATTAAATATATTTGACCTTCGTCGGTACTCTGCGGATGTGCCATATAGGAAATTTAGCCAGTGCTGTACGACTGCTAGCCTGGGGTTATTAGCGTGCATCACGCTGTAGGGATATACGACTGCTCATCTAGACCGAAACGGGCAGGAGTGGTGATCGAAACCAGGATTCCCGTAACGAGCTACACTGTGAAATAGTTGGCTAAAAAACAAAATCACTTTTTAACTGTACGGGTGACATTTCGCAGAAGAAGGGAAAAGCCTTTTTCTCCGCTCTTTGCGCGACCCCAGGGAAGTCGGGTTTTCCCGTTGGCCGCGCAGAGCGGGGAGCCCTGGCATCCCGGCAGTAACGACGCGACGAAGGGAGAGTCTTCCTGTCGTCTGCTTGAAAGACTTGTTTTCAAACGTTACTCGCGTTATGCGAAATCCTACGTTGGCAATACCCAGTTACTACGAGTAAAGTTGGATGATTTTAGAAACTTCCAAAGTGCTTGCCCACTTACTTCACGGGTCACCGACTCGTGGCGGTCGTCCGTGGCATCCACGACGCTAAAAATAATTAATTAAGTCGCACTTCCGTCCTCGGGAACGTGACGGCACCAATCCATCCGAATTGCGCAACCATGCTAGAAGTTATCGCTTTCCTTTTTTCGCACATTCTGGGCGAAAATTACGCCTTTTTATTCATTTTATTGCCTATCCTATGACCTTTGAAAAAAAAAAACTCTGGCCGTCGCCATTTTGCGACTCGAGCGACCCCTATCAGCCAGACATTTCTGCCACCCGCCTGAGCTGTGGAAACCCGGTCAGCACCGGCCTTTCTTGAAAGATTTTATCTCATTTGCCTGTTCAGGACGCGTACCCTTTGTGTATTATCCGCCGCTGTGAGCACCAGGTGATACCAGGGCTCGCCAGCTCGGCATTCGGAGGAAACGAAGAGAGCAGACGTCAAGCAGCACGCGACGCAGGAAATTCGGCGTTCTTCGAAGATTATTTCATATTGAGATAATCTCCGAAAAGCCTTCCCGGCTATGTTCTGGGTTTTCGCGAAAAATAGCTGATAGGGTCGGGTCCGAGGTGTGAGGAGAAATAGACACGTTCGTTCATTTGCTTTGGTGCTGCGCAAAAAATCAGGTCTCTTCAACACGTGCCCCAAAACAAGCCAGATTCCGCCTGATCGTCGTGAAGTGACTATCGTCGACACTGTATATTAGATATGGGGTGTTATTTGATATCTTTCTCAAATTCTGTTCGGATAACGCCGCACCATGGGCTACGTACAATACGTATTGTTTCGATTGGTGAGACTCGTTAAGTTTCATGTTGTGTGCGGGGAATACCCATGCAGTTCGGCTACCCTATGTGGTTAAATATTTTGACAGTTAAGACCTTTGCAGATTGGCACGGCTGAGTGTATGGTGCGGTAAAATGATCAACATAAAATTAAACAAACATTCCAGTTGCGTTTGTTCTGTCGCGCGCAGACTCACCAAAACAACTTTTTTTTTTTTTTTTTTAATAGTAGAATGCGTTTTTCAAAATTTCGAGAAAGTTTATTTGCGTAGAACACAAAAGAAAAAAAAACGCGGCAATTTAGCCGCCACCAGCGTCCGGAATTGCGCCTACGCAGGCTGCCACAGCACACTGGTGAGAAAACCCACAGCCTAGTGCAGTCGGGCAACACTGACGTACACTATCAAAACCTGGGACGCGCGCTACAAATTGTTTCGTTCGAGAATGCCGCTGGAAAGGGGTGGTGCCGAAGGTGCTCACATTCTACAGCATTTAGTTTTCTTGGCAGCATTTTGAGACTATAAGAGAAAAAAAAAACACCTAAAAAAGTTTTTTTTCTCCCCATTTTGAAACAAGCCGTTACGTTGCGGCAACGCGACATACAGCACCGCGAATGTCACTTTTCTGCAGAACACCGGTGAGCAGTGAAAAGCGCACTTCGTGGAGCAAACTAACCTGCCCAAAAAGACCACGATGGGTAATATATGGCAGAGACCCCTTTAAAATGAAATACGAAGGTCAAATCGAACTGCACGCTATTTAAAAAAAGTTATCGAAAGTTTCGAAAATTAGCGCAGGCCCACTATATGAATCGGCAGTGTAGCGACGCCAGGGTCATTCCATACAATAATAAGGAACTTAATTTGCTGCACAACTCCGATTCGATTCTTAAAGAAAAGTTATCGTCAACACTCTCTTACATGTCAGCGCGCACCGATTATCGTCATAAATTTGGCATCCCGTCCTGTCCTACAAAACAAATTCATGCGTTTTTTGTACCCATCACTTCAACCATGTGGAATCACGTTCCTCGTGCCATCGCGGAAATCCCCGATAACGAGAATTCTCAAACTGCCGTTAATAACTTTTTTTTAATGATCCCTATTTATTGTATACAATTTTCGTTGATGTCTGCTCTGCTGATTATTACCGTTTTCTTCTGCTTATGAAAGCCATTCTCCTCTATAATGCCTCTGGCCTTGAGGGTAACTAAATTTAAAAATTAATGATACAGTCAAGCTGTTTATGGCTAGAGTTCCATGGACTGTTCGTGTGCGTGACCAAAAACTCTACACTCGCACCGCCGCACGGGCACACCTTCCCCGTACAAAAAATTCGAAGTAAACAACCAAAAGAAAGGCTGACGAACGCGCGTGCAAGATGCCATTTGTTTTAAGGCCCGTTCACACTCTTGCAACCGAGTACGACCGAGAAAGACCAGACCGGTTTTTAAGCCTCTTGCGACCTCTTAAGGGGTATTCACACGAGGGAGAAATTCCGGGGATTTCTCCCCGGCACGCGCATCCCACGACGAAAACGTCAGGCTTTGCGATGTGCAAGAGCCTCGCGTTTTCATCTCGTGATGCGCACGTGCGCATCTGCACCACTTAGCCTGGAAACCAAACATATGACGTACCCAAGGTTGCAAACTGAAGGCCCGTTCACACACTTGCAACCGAGTCGGACCGACCGAGACAAGACCGGCTTTTAAGCCTCTTGCAACGTCTTAGGACCGGATGCACTGCAGCGGAGCTGGTCCTAAGAGGTCGCAAGAGGCTTAAAAACCTGTCGGGTCTCTCTCGGTCATACTCGGTTGAAGAGTGTGAACGGACCTTTAGGCTTTTGCTTTAGAACAGTTACTGCCGCAAACGCCGGCACGTGCGGCGCGGGGAACAGCATTCCCTGCATTCTTCTTGATGCTTGGGTAACTTAGCAATACGTCCATTCAGTAGATTAGTTATCAATAGGCACCATTTTCAACATCAGTAGACTCTCTTGTAGGTAATAAAGGTTTCTCAAAGATGTGCCGCTGTGCAACCCGCGTCGGCCATGTCTACGCTCGCACCGCCCTCTCTTTGTCGTCTTTTCAAGCCACTGCGTGCCTAGTTTTCTTTCCTTCTGCTCTCCCGGGGTGGCGGTCCCGTCGCGCGTGTCTAGTTTCCTCCGGCTCCTCGGGGCGGGTCTGTGTCGTGTGCTAAACAGTTTCGCTGGTCACGCCATCTTCACAGAGTGAAATGCCTCATGATTTGTTTTCTAACTTTCTCCAGCGGGCGTTTGGTGAAAGCGGGAAAACGGTGGGAGCATGCGCGACGCTGTCAGTTTAGTTCACATGAGGCAGGTGGCGGTATAAACGCGAGCGCAGTTGGGACCTTATGGCGCAGGAGCAGAGGCAAGGTTGTCGCACCGGGCAAACAAAACTAAAGTCGGCGATGCATCGCCGCAACCTATCGCCTCGGTAGCTTGCAAAATGATGCAATTAAATTCTCTTAAGATTTTTTTTTTTTTTTTTTTTTCACTCTGCCTGTGCCATTGGAGAGTTTTAGTATATAGTATGGTGCAGAAAGGCGCGCCCAGCGAGCGCTTGGGCAATCCATGCTTCGAAATGACGGCACGAACTCCCGCTAGCAAAGCAGACCTCTAGAATGCGGTCTGCTAAAACTACAGGAAGATTGCTCTTTGTAGGAAATACACCTGGGTCTCTGGGCTGCAGAGCTGAGAGAGAAAAATTACTTTCAAAATGTGATTAAATTACATCACTAATTACTTTTCGTGAAAACTGCGGGAAAGTAATTAAATTACATTACAAATTACCAGACTAAAAATAACGGCATTACATTAAAATTACTAAAGTAATGAAATGACTTTAACATTACTTTTTTAATACCATGAGGCAGTAATTCGTGCTTACTTTATTTACAGTGTATGTATTATAACTGAGATCTTCCTGTTTACACCGCAACAGCTTCATGCACCTCAAAGTGAACCATACTGAACAGTCGTTTCGTTGGCGCACACGACGGAAGTGTTAAACAGAATGAATAGCTTCTTTAGATGTGACTCAAAGACTGACGCCCCAACGGTTTTGCTCTTAGTTCAACGGGGATGGTCCTTAGTTAAAGGGGAACTCCACCCATATTTTATAGTCTCCGATTTGGCTAGAAATTGGCAGATCGCATCAATAACCCTTTCTGTACTGATAACCAAAATATTTTATAGAAATAAAAATTTTCAAGTTACGCCGGCCATGAGGGTTCCAGGAGGCGACTCTCTATGGCAACAATGAAAAATTCCTACTTGTGGTTTTAAAGTGCATTTGGTTTTGAAGTGCACGGGGCTTTGCCCTGCCCTCCCTGAAGGGGTTGCAGATTCGGCCGAGGCCCTGGGTTTTGCCGGCGACGATAAAAGGACGGAGGAGAAAAGGATTAGTCACAAAGAGGCGATTAGAAGATTGGTGAGAATTATCTAGGGAAAATTGAATGAAGCACAGCTGGGGACAAGCGGGATAGAGGAAAATTGGGACTTCCTCCCGCGTGGCTCCGGCCCAAAGTTTCAACCTTGTCCCTCAGTGGTTTCGGTGGAAGAGTAACGCCGACAAGGTTTGACCAGAGGAAAATTGGAGACTTCCTCGCCAGGGGGAAGAGGCAGAGTGTGCTGTTGTTAGGTTTTTTGCCCGATCCCCCAGAGGTCATCCTGGTGATATACCACACTGCCTGGTGATAGTTCGGGGGAGAAAATTGGTCTTAGAAGGGCGGAAGGAATTATGTTTTTGTCTTGTTAGACTTAGTCTAGGTGGCGCAAGCTACCGCCCGTTACAAAGGGTATAGCCGTTAAAATCCATCCATCCATTCGGCCGCGACGTGGCCATACTGGTGCTATGGTGGCTAGCCCTACTGATGCGGTAGGCACGCGTCACCGGCTGGTGTGCTTAGCGTCCTGTCCCGCCCATGCATCGGAAGGGGTCCCGAAGTGCCAACAAATGACGTCACAGAAACCGGAGCGTCATGCTGTCGGATGTCGCGATCCTGGCGGTTGGTCGTAGAAATGCTGGCGAAGAGCACCAGCGAACGCAAGTGTCGCTCTCGTCATGGCGTCTCAAATTTTGACTGCCGAAGCTCCGTGGGCTGTCACACCGGAAAGCGACCTCCAGCAGAGCAGGCGTCTGCCACATACACCACTTATTGGGACGCCACCAGGATCGCGACCGACGGCAGCATGACACTTTTGTGACGTCATCAGGCGGAAATCAAGGGACCACTCTTTTTTTACGCGGTAAACATACCAGTAGGAGACGCGATTCAACCGCAGCTCCACTCAACGTTATTAGATTAGCTCAGTTACGGAACTGCTCATAGACACCAGGCACGTAGCCAGGATTTTGTTTTGGGGGGGGCCCACCCATGGCAAAATGCTGTGTGAGGGGGAGGGGGGAGAGGAGGTCCTAGCAAAATAGAAGATTTCGAGGGGGGCCCGGGCCTCATGGGCCTCCCCCTTGGCTACGTGCCCGATTGACGCCCTGCATGCACGAGCAGTACCCCCCCCCCCCACTCACCACGAATCGCCTCCCGTTGTTCAACGCACCGGATGGCTGCTTTGGCAACTGAGGTGTATTCTATGGGGTACATACATTTTGAAGCGAAGCGTCTAGATGGTGTTCCACCGTACTCTATGGAACACACAGTTCGTAAACGAAAATCTAGATGGCGCTTCGAACGACGGGAGGCGGAGTGAAGTGAGTGATGGGGTGCACCCTCTTCCACGAGAGTTCCGCAACTGAGGCAATCTAGTAATGGAGTGTGGGCAAGAAGCTCACCGTCGCCCATAAATAAACCATTGGAATGAGATGTCGGCATCGGTGCCAGTCCTTGTGTTCTTCTTCACGTTGGAATTGTTGATTCTACGTCTTCCTGGCAATGTCTGACTAATGTAGCGGCCTCAGCGAAAAATGAGGCTCGTTACACCGCAAAACGTCCCGTAAATAATGTGTGACATGCGGCTATTCATTTCACGTGGACACCGCAGAATGAAGGCTAAAGCTTTATTCGCATGACGAGATTCTGCTCGCAATTTTAAGTCGCAACATCGCTCAGGCTGCAAAAGTGTAAACCGTAGCCAAGTTGGTCAACATAGATACCGAAAATCGCAAGCAGACTCGGACCGAGTGAATCAGATGTAACAAGTCGGTGATGGCCGCTGATAACAATTATCAACATCCCCTGGTATCTATTGTTTACACCGAGCCTACTTGCCCCAACGAACGCCTGCACTGACTTCTTAACGCAATTACCGGGTCAATGTTTGGTCTACGGGTCACCGTCCGTTTGAATGAGCAGACGACAACAAGCAGAAACGTTTGAAAAAGCAGACAACAGTTTGAACAATCAGTTGGCCGTTCGAACTTGAAGACGCACTGAGTGTAGTCCACAGGTGGTCCGTACAACTTGGCTGTTTTCCTGCATTCATGTTGGAACAAAGTAAATAAATCTGACTGGAAATGAGCGCCCCGTGCTGTCGTTCACTTCTTCACTTGTGCGCTGCGTGTTGTCGTCCACTTCCTCACTTGTCCCTGTTCCTTTGGCGCTCATTTCCAGTCATGAACCAACAAGCCCAGCTAAACATTTTGTTGTAAATAAATCTGACGACCACAAGTATCCGTGAATCCAACCCAAAATGCTTCCCACACAAGCAATTTTGGTCTGACTGCATCTGGATTTCCTTTTTTCCGGCACCTATCCACATTCTCGGACAGACCGAGTAGGCACAATACACGTGAAAACTGACCTTCAAACCTTTCCCCGACTCTATTGGTACAGCTCCAGTCGTGGCATTTTGAAGAGATGGCAGGTTTTTGTCTGGTTTCTTCCAAAACAACACAGGAATGCACGTCCCGCATGGTGACTTCTCGTGACTTCCACCCACAGCCAAAGCCCGGAAGTGCGCCAGACGCGCCACTACCCACCACCCAGCCTATAATATACACCTTCATTTTGACTCCCCCCAAACCCCCTCCAAACCCCATGCCATGGACATCCAAGCTGTACACCTTCATTTTGACAACCACCTCCCCCCCCAAAAAATTCCTGGGGGGGGAGGTGGTGGCGCGCGGCAGTATCTATATAACAACCCTATGTCCGACGCGCCACTGCCTCGACGAGGCTTTGCCCTCAGATGGCCCTTGTTCGTTTGCTCAGATGTTTCACGTTTCACCGTGGAAAATAATTTTTCTACTTTTTTCTTAAAGCTTGCAAACAAACTTTTTTATCTGGGACAAAAGCAATTTCAAAAGTAATGAGTAATTATCTAGAAATTGCTGCCTGAAAGTACCTTATTACATTACTAGTTTACCGGCCTCGAAAAATATTTGTTTCATTACTCATCACCAAAGAAAAATATCATTACTGCCGTCTCGGCAGCTTACGGCAATACAAGAGATCACTGCTCTCTTCAAACTCGCCGAGATACAGGCTGTTGAGGCAAATTGCCTTGTTTTTCCATTATTTTGCGAATTAAGAAATAATAAGCCCATCCACTTCCGTGCTTGTGTCTCATGACAATACAGATTTCTAATCAAATACAGATTGATACTGATATTTTACATTTGGAATAAAAGTTCCACAATGGAAGTCTGTTATCAAAGCATAAAGCTTTATTATGCTCCTGCACACATACAAAAAAACGTTTCGAAAAAAGCGCTCTTGGGTATATTTAGTCCAGGACAAAAGCTGCACCACTCGAGTTAGAAAAATAGTACTGGAGGGAGGGTTCAAGTTTTGCTGCGAGGCTTAAATTCACCGAGCAAGTAAGCTCTGACTAGTCTAAAGCAGAATTTACATAGAAAAAATTGTGATTTCACATCAAAAAGCCCAGCTAGGTTTCACCAGTAGATTGGTAAAAAGTCACAAAAGGCACAATTTACACATTCAGCTCGAACTAAATTGTTTAGAGCGAATGAAAATAAACTTCAAATCCAACTCGTAGTAACAGAATGATGTAACCAACAAAATATATAAAAGAAAAATTAGACAATACGGAAGAATTATTGTTTGGTTTGGCTTGCCATGACTTGTAATAATAACCATTGTGTAAATATGTGAGCTTATCAGTGTCACATTCTTTCCTTTAAAAAAGAAAAGCACAAACAACTGTAGGAAGAAATGCGGTAGAACATTAAAATGAGGCTCAATTGTAAAACATGTAATATGTAACCGTAACTGAGAACAACGCTGGCCCTACTAGGTACGACAAAGCGTCAAAAATGGATTTGCGTGCATGTTGAGATTCAGAACGCCCTCCTCTTGTTCGCAGACGAGCCAAGGAGGCTTGTAGAGCAAGCGAGGCTGCCTGTCGTCGCGTGCCGCCCTTGTTTCGGGTTACCAGTTGTCAAGGAAGTCGAAACCAGTCTTGGGAATCCCCTGAAATAAGACGGAGAGGACGTTGCTCGTACCCACACCGCAGTGACCGGTAAAAGCCGACGATTTGTGCGCTACAGAGTCATCGCTACATCCGTAACGTCCACCATAGGAAGGCAATTTGGAGACCCTGATCCAAGGTTCCCAATTTGTTTTTCGTTTAGTCGAGGCTAATGCTGGGAACGCACGAGAGATGAAAACGGGCGCCGTGCGGCAGTATTTATATAGCAAAAGGTGCTAGCAACCCTATGTCACTCCCTCGCAGCGCGTTCAGATTTGGTCGGTACGGATCATACAAATAATGCCACGTGGTGCTCCTCTAGCGCGCATACGCTCCGTTCACCCCTACATTCAGTACGCAGTTGACCCTACGTCCTTGTCGGATCAGTCGTACGCCTCTGTTTTGCAACGTCATCACGCTCCCGGCCACACCTTTTTTATGTGGAGAGCCCGGTCAAGTGACAAGAGGGAGGTAGCCGATGGTTCCAGTGGGCACGTATCCAGGGGTGGAACTCGTGAAATGTACTTGGGAGCAGCCTTAGGAGCAGCTGAAACAGCTGTTTTGGAGCACGTTGGGAGCAGCTAAAACTACATTCTGGAGCAGGCTAGGAGCAGCTCAGATCAACTTTCATTGCACTTAAGCTTGTGTCGTAGACAAGCACGGGAACAATTTCAATTGTGCTTAGCAGCACAGATGAACATGAGTGGTTTGGATCCTAGGTATAGATGGGATAACAGTGCAACAGATGCGAAAACTTGGCCTTAGTGAGAACTAAAAAGCAAGTACCATATGTTTCTGAAGATAGTGTCCTTGATATTTTCTGAGTGGCTTTCAGCTGATCCAAATGCAAACCAGCACTGCTTATAGCACAACCCCAACGTGCTCGACATATAATTATATGTGCGAACCACGTGACGTGTGCAAGCAACATACGTGCAGTTGCGTGGAGGAACAGCGCAACAAATTTTGAGTTTATCCAATTGTACAACTCAATATCAAAGCAGCAGACTATGATTAACGGAGTGGTCATATTCGAAGCGATGAGCCAGAGAGAGATTAAAGTATGCCGAGCAGATCTACCGCTTGCTTGAGACCTGTTGGCCAACAAGGCTTTGGATCGGACCGCGTTTCAGTTCTATCAAATCATGATTTATCTTGCAAGAATGTGATTCCAACTTCTAACGATGAAGTACTAAAAGGAATCTTTTGCTAATGTGTTTTTAACTGGTTGACGTTAGGAACCCGGGCCGCAGAGCCTCAGGCAATCTGACGCTTAACGACTCAACCTCACCTCGGCCGACTTGCTTAAAGGGCAACTCCGCTTCTTTTCCAGTAGTGCAAAACTATACAGTTCTCTTTGTTATCATCTACAAAACCCCCATGGCAAATATTACGACGGAATTCCGCCTAGAAGTTCATTAAAATCGCTGTCAAAGTTTGACAAGCACGAATCCGCTGGTTTTGGTTGAGACGTGCGGGCCAGACAACACTGCCCGGCTGCATTTCCGCTTCCTCCAAATTCCTTCTCCCGGCACGTCCGCGACGTCATCAAACATGTACAGCTTCTTTTTTTTTCTTTTTCTATTTTGTTTTCTTTCCCGGGGAGAGCACGGGTGGCGCCAGCGCCGTGAAAGACGTGAGTGACGCGCTCGGCCGGCCCGGCGCTCGACTATTGATACTACTGATAAGCCGATCGCCTCGTTGAGCGCGGCTTGTGTTACATCGCATACTTTTGAACACCAAGTACAAGGAGGAGAGGGAAGCTGCTTTTGTAAGAATTTTGAGTGACAGGTTAATTTTCTATAATCTTCTGGGAGGAGAATAGCGACGCCTGTGCTAATCCAGGAGGCACAAAGGAGGATCTTGATAAGAGGGGAGCTTCTTCTTCTCCTTGTATATCACGTGGGTGTACATGCTTAGTGATGCCGAATATACAATGTTGTCCGGCTTTGCCACCGTTTCGGTTTCGGTTTGTGATCATGGCTAGAATAAAATTACACGAAAAATATTTTATTTTTCGCGAAACAAAGGATTGGGGATTGTTTTTGAGTGCTTCAAAAACCAAAATCCGCCACTATCTCAAAATTTTTGAAATTAGGCGGAGTACCCCTTTAAGGGGGAACACTGGTCTTGGAGCTTTTTTTCTTATTTTATGACCAAACCCAATGAAACTGCACAAGCTTGTTCAGCTTTTCGAGCTGATTTCATAAATCTGGTCATTTTCTCAGTCAGTAGAATTGTCCTCAAAATAAATAAAGCTTGCCGGTCTTTGTTTGGAAAAATGACAGAAAAAAAAACTGCCCAAAATATTCTTTTTAACACATGGCTAGATACTACGAAGTGTAGAGAATACAATGTTGGAAGCACTTTTAAGATAAACTCATTATTAGTCACTTTACTACACACTGAAGTTCACTGCTCAATGCATGGCTAACAAGTAATAAAGCAAAAGATCAAATATAAATTTTTCTAGACTTATATAAAAAATTCTGCTCTCATCATTGTATGCTTCACACGTTCAGCTATACATTTCAGGAAAGGTTATATTTCTATCTGCTCTAGATGCTGAGATATCTTTCCTCAAATTCTCGACGAATCCAAAAATTGTGTTTTGTGAAAACAATGTTTTAGAGTCAACTTCAATGCACATTCAGCCCGCATAGATATTATAAAGTGATTTATAGCTCAAGTATTTATCCACGAAATTATAAGCCTGGTAGATTCAGAAGAACGGCAGCCATCGCCATTTTCAAAAGAATGCAGTTTTAGGAAGTTTTTGGGCTTCAAAGACCCATGTCCCCCCTTAACCGCTTATGGTTGAATAAGAATCCAGTCGCAGGTGATGCAGCGCTTGGAATCCGACTCTTGAGCTTTTCGCGCGCTCCGACTCGGGATGCACAGGGAAAATAAACGGAACAAAAAATTGCAAGGCCGACCAAGCTAAACGTGCTCATTGTTGCCAATCGAGTCAATAAAAACCGATACTAAGACAAAAATATAATTTACTTGGCACACCTTGTGTGATTTGGAGCACAATGGCACGAGGTATATTGGCTGTGGTGCAGTTTCTGCAAAATGGCACAGGATGGCGCAGACGAATGCGCCTGGCGCAAAATAGCGCAACTGGCGCAGCCGTTCCACCCCTGCATAGCTACCACCGTAGTCTCAGCTTAAAGGGGCCCTGCAATCCTATTTAAGTGTCCGCCTTTTTTGCGGTTTTCACGTCTCTTGGGGTTCGGGCAAGCCAGCGGGCACGGAGAGAGTAACTAAATATCACTGCGTCATATTTTAATCGGGCGACGCGGAAACCTCCTCCACCGACGGGGGCGACCCGCGGTACCGAAAGCACACGAAATGTGACGTCTTTGGTCCTGGGCTTACTACTGCTCACAGCCACTAAAAGCTTCTTTTTAGTCAAAATACAAAATATAAGTGGCGTGAACAGTTTCAGTTATTTATAAAAGTAGTTTTTGTTCACTAATTTAGATGAGAAAAAAAACAAATGCAGTTTATAAAGTACGGAAACAAGAAATGATCCGTCGACATACCCGCCACCAAGCAATGGAAAAGGCGGCGCATTCTAGAAAGGAGTAGTGGAATCAGGCGCCGACACGGAAAGGTCCCGGATGTACGTGGCGGCGCTGCGGTCGTTTACGGACTGGTGGATCCGACCGGCTCTGAGCGTTCCGAAGGCCTTCAGCGAGCAGCTTTGTCTTGCGTTTTGGCCGTTTCGCGGTACGGCAGCGCGAAGTGGCTTCCATTCTGAACTGATCTTTACACCATGTTTCCTGTCGTTTGTGGCCAACGAAGTGTCATGCCGAATTAGTGTTTAATTGTGCAGCAAATGCAGTTAGAGCCGCTCTGGCTACCTGCTGTACACAGCCTATCCAGAACACACTTTAGTGGCGCCCTCTCGCGCCGTCGACATGGAGTGCGGCAGCCGTTTGAGCTCGCGATGAACTCACTTCCCCTCCTCTAGTTCACGGCCACTCAAGCAACCAAGGACGTCATGAGGGAGGTTATTTTTTGCTTGTTTTTGTAATTTGAATTAGCCTATAACTTTTAAAATAAAGCGAAATTTGAGAAAAGAAAAGTTTCATTAAGTTACTACGGTCAGTGCACTCAGGTTTGGTGCAAATTAAAAACCAGTAAAAAAGTACTTGCAGGGTCCCTTTAAAGGGACACTGACACCCCTTAAAATATTTTTTTCCTTTTTTGTCAGGCGATTCATATGGTATCGGAATACTACACTCAATTAATATTTTGCTTTCAGAGTCACGCATTTTTTTAATAAAGCCTAAAAACGCAACTGCTCGAAACCGAAACCGAAACTACCGCACCGCACGGAGAAGTGGAGAGGATAGAGTGAGTGGCGGAAGTCACGTGGCTACACCCGACCGTGGAAGTTTTTTTTTTTGTTTTTTTTTCCTCTGCACGTAGCAGACAAAATGCGTGGCGGGATTTGTTCGCCGTGCGATTCCTTTGCAGTTATGTTTGTTCCGCTCGTTGTTCCGTAATATCAAGATGAATTGTTTTGTACATTTAAAGGTTGGCAATTAGTAGTGAGTGCCCGTGGTGAATTCCCGTGATTGGCTCCGAAAAGAATACTCCCAAGATGTTGCGTGAAGAGCTGCCTCACATGTCCTGCATCTGAAGGTGGCATTGTGCGGCAGAGTGCACAAGTTCCCGAAAGATCAACAGGTCGGGATCAATGGCTGGCTGAAAATTCCTGTAGAACATTTACGCAAAGCTTGGAAAGCGGACGCTCCCCGATTCATATGCTCCTTGCATTTTGTGGAAAGTGACTACATTGAGTTCGCAGGTGTCAAAAATGGAATCCCCATACCATTTAGTTCAGCGATGTATCGTCCACAACTATTGTTTTTTTCAGTGATAATTGTAAAAAAAAGAAATGTAAACATCGCAAAATGCTCGACAATAAAAAAAAAAGAAAATTGGTACAGCCATACCAGGGATCGAGCCCGTGCCCACTGTGTGTGAA